GGGTAGAGGCTTTCTTATCCCCCACAAACTTTTTCGTAGTACGACTCTGACATCTTGCAATTGAGAAATTTAATATATCATTCAATTTCGTTGCTTTTTTGCTTCTCAACTTTTTTCGAGAAACAATATACCGTTTTCAGAATAAATGAGCATATCCGTTCTAAAAACATGTTGATTTTACCTATATTGTTCTGCTTAAATTTTATTATTAGATGAAATTCGCAGAGAATGCAATAAAATGTATTACTAAAATTACAAACTGGTTCAGTAGCGGAGATACAAAGGGTAGAACGTAAAGGTTTTGTTAGGTTTTAAAAGTTGGTTGAATTTTCTCCAAGAATAAAATTTATGCGAATACTCTCAGTCACCTTATCTTCAATGTTCTTTCTGCAATGGCTGCTGGTCCGAAAATTCTTCGCTTCCGAGATATAAGCTGGCAAAGTTAAGAAATAAAGATCCTTTTTATTCAATTTGGTACTGATAAGATAGCCAACTTTTCATTTAATAAATCGCTTTTACCAACATTGAATTACAACTAAAAAAAACAATGAAAATAAGATGTGCATTGAACAGCGTCAGTAGCACCAATATATAAATCTGAAAATAACCATATTCATGTTTCTGCGCATGCGTAAGTATTTCTTAAATGCATTTCTATGAACGACAAAAACTCGCTTATGATGAAATTAAATCAAACTAAATAATCAAAGTTGTTGCCACTTTGCAATATCAGCGGCAACGTCGCAGCGTTGAGAATATTTCAGGTCAATAGAGCAAAACTAATTATCCAAGGCACCAAATTTTCATATACATATAATTATCATTTTTCAAATAAATGATTATTCTTGTTGAATTGGCAAATTTTCAGATCAACTAATTTGCATGGAAGTTGATGATGTTTTCGGAAAATAAACGTCAATTCTTCACAAAAAAGTGAATCAATAAAATGTTCAGTGTATTTACATACAATGTAATTTCACTTGAGTTCAATCAAACTTCTGAAGGTTTAAGGTATAAGAATACAATATATAGTATGTAGTTTTTTCATTGGCATTTATTTCAAACTTTTTTCGACAAAACTCGAATACAAAATAGTAATATACAACAGTTACAACAATTAATATACAGGGTGTTCATTTCAGGACTTCCCACCCTAATTTTCTCGAAATGTGTGTATGTTTCTGAAAAATCCCGAGACACGTCAACTACATTTTCGAGGGGGACATGGTTCTAAAATATTTTCAGCCCCGCGGCGTTGCCGCTTCTAACGAAAAGAAGCAACAACTTTGTTATTTCAAATGGAACACCCTGTATTTTATTGCATTTTTAGATTCTCCCTGAAAAGCTGATTTCATCAATGTATCACACTTGGGGTCTAGCAGGAATGATTACAGAGATATAGGGTGTTCAAAATCGAGATTTTACAAATTTAGGATTTTTTTGAGTCGAAACTATTCATTATTGGTCAAAACGGCTTTCATGTCCCTATCTCAACTTTTGATTTACTATCTACTGACTTTTATTTGAAACAAATACAGGGTGATCAAAAGTCTGAATCTTGAACCACCCTGTATTTGTTTCAAATAAATGTCAGTAGATAGTAAATCAAAAGTTGAGATAGGGACATAAAAGCCGTTTTGACCAATAATGAATAGTTTCGACTCAAAAAAATCCTAAAGTTGTAAAATCTCGATTTTGAACACCCTATATCTCTGTAATCATTCCTGCTAGACCCCAAGTGTGATACATTGATGAAATAAGCTTTTCAGGGAGAATCTAAAAATGCAATAAAATACAGGGTGTTCCATTGGAAATAACAAAGTTGTTGCTTCTTTTCGTTAGAAGCGGCAACGCCGCGGGGCTGAAAATATTTTAGAACCATGTCCCCCTCGAAAATGTAGTTGACGTGTCTCGGGATTTTTCAAAAACATACACACATTTCGAGAAAATTAGGGTGGGAAGTCCTGAAATGAACACCCTGTATATATTAAGTTTAAGGCACAAACGAAGACACAATCTAATAATTTCGTGCATTTGAAATTGTCATCACAGAACTTCCAAATGTTTATGATCTATAATAAATATCATGTGTTCAATTCAATATAATATTATTGTTCTTGGAGGAAATACTCGCTATAATGTGGATAAATTGATAAACAGCTAGTGTATACAGTGTGTCCCGCTTTTCATGAATACACCCTAATAATATCCACACCGAATTGAGTAACCATTTTATAGCTATATACCCTTTGAATTATATTGACACAAAATGTGTCAGAAGTAAGAAAAATGTTCGAGAAATTATATATGTTCACTCTGCTAAATAATTGATTTTTCTAACATACAATCACCACCAGAATTACAAGAAAATAGCATCATCAATAACTGATCGAGATATTATAGGGTGTATTCATGAAAATCAGGACACACTATATATCTCAGTATAGGTACATAATATTATCATGTATGTATATATGTCAAAATACTGACCTCGAAAATAAAGAAATTGTCTTTCTGATATCATCATTATTGTGGAGTGTAATATTGCCTTTCGTATATTAGGATATGTTTTTACATGTATGAATTGGATTATATTGTATCGAGAAACACATTCATCCTTATATCGAAAATAAATAAGCATGGGTAAATTTACTTATAGTCTATTTTAGGTATGTACAATAATTTATTGTCATGGTATATAAATATTTACACAGTTCAAAACACTAGTTTAAAGCTTCATAAGCATTATAATAGTGCACGTTTAAAGCCCGTTCTCCCTTTACTAATTTTTTAATCGTCCTGGTATATCGCAACGAAATATGACGGGCTCAAAACCTACTTTTTTATGGAGAAATGGCAGCTCAAAGTTGGATCAAATGGCGACTGAGCGCCATGTAGAATTATTTTTTGATTGAAACACTCCGTATATAGATACTATTTCATCATTTACAAAATATTCTCCTAATTCTTAACAGTTTCATGTCATACACTTTACTCCTAAAATCAATATAGTTTTCGAAATATTCGCGTTTGAAAAACCCATCAACCAAAAACTCGAATGTTGCTTTGAAACAAGTTTGCATTGGAAAAAATGGTGGCTGGAGTAACATCTTGATTTTTCCATAAGAAAAGTAGGTTGTTCACTCTACATCTCCTATTTGAGCCCTCAAAATCTCGTTGCGATATACCAGGTGGTTCAGATACTGCAGTAAGGGGGACAGAACTTTACACGGGCACGTCTATGTATTGTACAATTTTTATTCGCAACCAGATACCTATAAAGATCTCTGAATTTTTCAACATTAGGTAGACCTGAATCCTGAATAATATTTTCTTGTCGCAGGTGATTTCATAGCACTCGGATTCAATACGTAGAGGGTGTTTCCAAAATTGGAGTAATAAATGCAACTGGGTATTGTATATGGAATGATGCATTTTTGTTTTTTGCACCATCATTATACATCTTTCAAGAATTATTGTCGTCTGCAACAGTCATTCATATCGACCAAAGATTACTGAATTTCGTTCTTTCGTCTCTTTCAATCGAATTAATGCTGACAATTCAGATTCAAGAACCCATTTCTCATCACTCTGTTCATCTCTTTGTATTATTATGGAACCTTTCCACCTGAATGAGCATTCATTATTGGGTGTCATGCATCGAGAATTTAATAATGGCAAAGTGACAAGTGAACAATTAACATGCTTTCGATGATAATATGATCTAAGGTGAGTGTCGCCAAAGTGCAGCAGCAGGATTCACTTGTACACGGAAAGATTACCGTTAATGAATCATCCAATCAGCCAACACCGCGAATGTTGGTTAATTTGGGACATGTGGGAAGGCCTGTACAAGTGTACAACCCCAAATGGTAAATATATCATCAGGACCTTAATAGGGTCAAATTCTATCATCTCCTCGGTGCAAAGTTCACGCAATATTAATGAATTTCGATCTGCTCCTTGTTAAAAATTCGAAGACCTCTCAAAGATGCTACCCGTTGAAGGGATGGTGCGCCCCTATATGCATCGCCCCGTTCCCCGACTGGAAGTACAGGTATTAATTGTAGTTCTGCGTCCCGGCATCCACCCCGGGCGGACCCTGGGGCGGGCCATGGCCGCCCCTGAACGCTGCCGCATGAACCCCCGCCAAAATATCACTCACTAAGTGCGAGCTGGACCAGCAGTGTGCTGTGATATTTTTACATGCTTTTGATATGATTTATGGTGAGTGCCGCCACAGTGTATCAGCAGGATTTCTTGAAAACGCGGAGATTTCCGTTGAGAAAGCATCCAAGTCTGCGAAAGTTGGTTAATTCGGTGCAAAGGAGTAGGAGAATTTGAACAAACAAAGAGGAGGACATGTGGGAAGGTCTGAACAACCCCAAATGGTGAATATATCATCAGGACCTTGATAGGGCCAATTCTATCATCTCCTCGGTGCAATATTAATGAATATCGATTTGCTCCTTGTTGAATATTCAAAGACCTCTCAAATATGCGACCCGTTGAAGGGATGGTGCGCCCCCATATGCATCGCCCCGTTCCCCGACTGAAAGTACATGTAATAGTTGTAGTTCTGCGTCCCCGCATCCACCCCGGGCGGACCCTGAGCCGTGTCATGGCCGCCCCTGAACGCTGCCGCATGAACCCCCGCCAGAATATCACTCACTGATTGTGAGCTGGGCCAGCAGTGGGCAGTGATGTTTTTACATGCTTTTGATATGATTTATGGTGAGTGCCGCCACAGTGTATCAGCAGGATTTCTTTGTACACGCGAAGATTTCCGTTGAGAAAGCATCCAACACTGCGAAAGTTAGTTAATTCGGTGCAAAGGAGTAGGAGAATTTGAAGAAACAAAGAGGAGGACATGTGGGAAGGCCTGTACAACCCCAAATGGTGAATATATCATCAGGACCTTGATAGGGCCAATTCTATCATCTCCTTGGTGCAATATTAATGAATATCGATTTGCTCCTTGTTGAATATTCAAAGACCTCTCAAATATGCGCCCCGTTGAAGGGATGGTGCGCCCCCATATGCATCGCCCCGTTCCCCGACTGAAAGTACATGTAATAGTTGTAGTTCTGTGTCCCCGCATCCATCCCGGGCGGCCCCTGGGGCGGGTCATGGCCGCCCCTGAACGCTGCCGCATGAACCCCCGCCAAGATATCACTCACTGAGTGCGAGCTTGGCCAGCAGTGGGCAGTTCCGTGTCGCTGGGACGGTGAAGATGGCGACAGTGGCGACAGCTTCTGCTGCGGGTAGGGGTAAGAGGGGTAGATGGCGTTGTAGAGGGGGTGGGGATGCTGCGGGTGGCCGGGCGGGCCGAGAGTGCCGATCTTGTTGCGGAGGATGCGGCTGATGGAGCTGACTGAGGGCACGTTGTATTTGTCGCAGACGGCGTCGGATAGGAGACGGTCGCGGATCTCCCAGGCGAAGATGCCGGGGTCTTTTTGTTTCAGCTCCTTGATGTACGCCACCACCTGGAAATGAACGGGAAATGTCTCTCAACTCAAACTCAATTGCTATATACTTTTTTCTAGAGTCACTGGATGGTATTAGTTTGATAAGAGTTCGGACACAGCTGAACTTTTGTCCTTTTCTATTTTCGATAATACAATGGTTTGAGTGAATAAAAGAATAAGACATATATTCTGTTCTTTGTCTTTTCAATTTCCCTAGTAGCGCCATATACGTATTAATAATCAATACGGATAATCTCTATCTGTTTCCATAGCGAAACATGAAGCCGATTTTTGAAGACAAATGACTATCCATAAGGAAAAGATTTGAAACGATCAGACACATACTGCTTTGATTGAAAGGCTAGTAAACGTCATTGTCCACCGAAACGCATGTCTTTGATGACTACTATAATAGCGCATGGCGCATGCGTATCATGCCACCAAATCCTTATGGATATTCATTCGTTTCGTATTTTTGGCTTCATCCTGGCACCCGTTGTGATCCGTATTGTTTATTAATACGTATATGAGTAGCGCCTGATTGTCAGATCAATCATAGTCGTAGATGGACAATAGAAATAGGGTATAAACACCCACTTCAATTTATAGTGATACACTTCTAGCAGAACAGTTATATGAATGGGAAGGATGCATGTAACATAATTTTAATATTAGAAAATATACACATATGGATAAACTTATAGCTATAATTCCTTATTGTATGTGAAACTGTACTAAAGTGATAAGTATAAAACAAAGATATTGATATCAAAATATTCTCAATATACTGGAAGTAACATGAGTACGTTCAAGCAGGTTCAAGTATTCCTGAGACAATTTCAAGAAATAAAGTCTATATATATAAGCTTGTGTCCGGAACTGCAGAGAACAAATTATTTTTCGATAAACATTTCATTGGAAAAAAGTAGTTAATTTTCACGATGAGACCTACCACATACAGTCGTATTCAATAAAAAAGCGTACGAGTGTTAAAAAGAGAGGTTTACGGCATCCTAGTTCTAGTTGTATAAAATCAGCCAATGCTTTGTGTTTTTGAGAATCTTCCACAACTTTACTGTCCACATTTGGTAAACAATCATTCTCGATAGCTCATTTTACGCAAATAGAATGACGTTAATTTCTCTCTGTAATATACTTGTACGCTTTTTCATTGAATACGACTGTACTTGGTTTTGTAAAATTATCAGCAACTTCACTTAGCGCCCTAGGAGAGTAGGAGATAAAGTAACATGGATCGATAGAGAAAATTTTAAATATCTCCAAAACGATGTGGCTCTACTTTTTTCTATAGACCATTTTGCGCAGAATGTGGCGCAAATTGGAACTATTTCAAGATATCAAATTCAATATTCTTTCATTGGAAACACTTGGGCAACACAATATCATGTAACAAAATGAAATGGTATTTTTTTTATATGTTTTGGTTCTCACGAAAAGGGATATCCTGTAATGTTCAGAGAACATCGTGAGAACCAAGGGAAATGAGGTAGGAATTGGTGTTCTTCTTGAATTCCTGGAGGTTATATGCCTCGGGGAACGCATCCCTCGGCAATGTGTTCCAGAGCCTCAATGTTCGTTGGATGAACGAGTCTTTAGAAAGAGATGTTCTGCAGGTCTCCAAAGTGACCACGAAGGGTGCGAAGCCTCAACTCGACAAGTTAATCTCGCGGGGACTGCCAAGGGATGAATAATTGTTGATATTTCAGAAGAGCATCGTCCATGAAAATATCTATAAAATAGAGCCAAATCGCCAACTTTTCTACGCTGTTCCAGAGAAGTGAGTGAGTTTGTGAGCGAGGCATCACCCACGAGACGAATTGCCCTTTTTTGGATAGAATCAGGGTATGTTTGGGTGCTGCACTCCAAATATGGGAACGGTATTCCAGGACAGGTCGGATCTGTGCCTTATAGATCATAAACAGCTACCTGGAAGTGAAATAGCTCCTGGCCCGAAACAGAAAAACAAGTTTTTGGGATGCACTTTTAGCAATTGATCTCACGTGATTTTCCCAAGAAAGGTTATTGCTGATATAGTAATACCAAGCATCGAAATGGATGTCTTCAAAGGTATGGTTACTCCTGACAAGCCTATGTTGGGCAATCGAAAATAAAAATTGATATTTAGGTTTCATTAAGTTCCATAAAGAATAATTAAGCCAATTATAAGTTCTGATCGATTTTTGTTGATTCTCCATGGAAATATATGTGGTGTTGGCAAAGTGCCATGAGAAAAAATGTTTCTCGCAGTATGAGCAATATATGGTTTTGAAACGAAGTAAGCTATGAGAAATGCGCTAATTTTCATAGCAGTAGTAGAAAGAGACTTTTGTGATTCTTACCTTTGGAGTGGTGACCCTAGGCTTGGACCCTCCGATAGCACCAGGAAGGATGGACCCAGTCTCGTGGTACCTGGCCAGGATTTTGGAAACGCACCCATGAGATACCCTGAGTTGTCTGGAGATATCACAGGGCCGTATCCCTACTTGGGACAATTCCACGATCCGCAATCGCACTGCGTTTGGTAATGGCCTACCATTGACGAACACTCCTCCTAGTTGGTTCACTTCTCCATATTGCTGGATTTGGTTTTCTGAAATGAAAAACAAGGTTTCAGATTGAGTCAAATACTGGATAGTTTGAGATATCACGGAGGTTAATTTATTACATGAAGGGTATTTCGAAACTCACGCTTCACAGGAAAATGTTCTACAGAAATCTCAGCTATCATTCCATCACTATAGGAATACTAGTACGGCGACAAGCTCAGCATATTCTTTAGTCATCAAACTCGACATATGTTGACAACTCTCTATCATTACTCGTCTCTTTATAAAACTACATCTTTGGAATTTTTTGCCTATAGGAAAGTAGGTATCCCCAAAATGTAAAAAATGCAATACCAACCTCTCTCCTTATCCTCCCCAAAGGTATGCGTACGATGTTCCCTGAGGTCTGTACATAATAGGGATTCCCTTTCGTGTGCTTTAGAAGCTAGATTCGTCTCCAATTGATATGAACATAAGTCATCCAGCCAAAAGCAAAGGCTGTTGTCAAATGGCCACTATAGTGATGATGAAACTCTTGTTGAGTGAATTTTGATTTATAATTTCAATTTCCTGTTCTTACCGATGTTGAATTGCATTATTGATCTGTCTTTTGGCTATTTAATCGATTCAAATAACAATATACTCAATTACCTGCCTGATTTTCCAGGTTTTTGACCTAGCTTTTAGTTAAAGTTGAACTTATCTCCTTATTGTCTATTTATAATTTCATAATCTTTACAGGTATTTTATGTGTTTGAAGATGCCCTTGATATGAACATGTTCTCAATGCAACAAGCACGGGAAGAATATACGTCATGGCATATCTATATACAGGGTGTTTCAAAGGTCGATGCAAAGTCTTTCTAGGAGCTCATTTGGATTGCATTAAGCCAAACCATTGTCGTTTCAAATGAAAACCTAGTATACCTACGCGAGGTATTATATTGGCTGTTCACTGACCCAAAATCTGAGCAAAATATGTTTGCCTGATGTCAATGGCGCTGAGGTAGACTGAAAAATGTCGGTAGCTCAGGTTTACCATTCTAGAACACGTGATTTTGACAAGGTTTCTTGAAGAGCACACAGATTATCTGTTAGGTCACCTTTTACTCGGGTTCCAAGAAAAACAATTCCATTAATTCTGGTTCCATACGGCAAAATACAGTGTTTGTTCTCCAACTACCTGTCAAATGACGTAATTCTGGAATGATTAATGTTTTATTGTCTAGGTTGAAGATTTCTTCTTCTATTTTTTATTAGTTGTATACTTAACCATAGATAGATTTGTTCTGGACTGTTGGTTTGTGTTTGCGCTGTTGTGACTTAGGTCAGCTCAGACATATTTTTTCAATTTTGATTTGAATTCAGGTTTCAATGTATGTAAGATGGAGTATATTTTCTCAACTATACTTGTATAATAGTTTTTGCGAGGTTTTTGCATGGTTTGATGATAGATATCCTGAAAGATGGATTGGTCGAAGAGGAGCAATTGAATTTCCACCAAGATTACCAGATTTAACGCCTCTTGCCTCTTTATTTCTTCCTATGGCGAGGGGCATCTTAAATCGGTTGTTTATAAAAAAACATCAGTTCGAAGATTCGAAGGATGTCAAGAGATGAGAAAAGCAGCTACGTGTAGAGAAATTCAAGTATATTGAAGTTTTTCGAAACGCTAGAGAAGAGTTTGTAAGCAGACTTTATTATACTGCTCACAAAACAATGGTCAACATTCCGAACATTTAATAACATGAAAAACTTTTTATAAATTATTTTGGTTTATTGATTCAAAAACATTATATCTATTGTTTACATTTTTCGCCTGATTTTAGTAATATTAAACGTAAATGTCAAATATGTTGAAATGAAGTATTAATAAACGCCCCTTTCTTAAGATTTTGGTGTTTTTTTTTTCATCTCCGATACAGGATTGATGTAATTCAATCACAAATCAGCTTACAAAAGGTCCCCTTTGAAAATCAAGTTGACGTGTTCATGGATATATTCATAATATAGTTTGTATAAGGGCTGAGGTATTCAGGAAGGTCAAGTTTATCCAAAAACAATGGCAGAGTCTCGTGCCGCACCTACACTCACTTCAAAGGGAACTATACAGACCCGCCGACGCTTGATTTTGGATTGCTTGACCATCCTATAACTTATCAATTTCAGAATCGGTAAGTTATATTTCGGGAAAGGAAAACTCGGTTTCAGAAATGGTTAACTCAATTCCAGAATCGGTGAGTTGAATTTCAGAAAATGTCCATTGAATTTCAAAAATGATAAGTTATATTTCAGAATTGGTTAGTTCAATTTCAGAAAGAAAAGTTCAACTTGAAATAAATAATCCTGATTACACAAGTCTCTGTATGAATCTTAGTTCCTAGGATAATGAGCGTGCATTCAAAATGGGCATCCTACAGATAACATAGTGGTAGTTCTGGATAATGCACCTGCACATTCTTATTTGTAGATTGGCACCTTACAGCTCCCAGTGTTGAACCTAATAATTGAACATATCATGGAATACCTTCAAGTCAGAAGTGAAGAGCTTTTTGTAAAAGCATCATAAAAGAGTCATAGCCGGGGATCCAAACAGATTGCTTAACCAAATAGAATTCAGACTGTGATGTCTTGAAGAATCAGGTCATTCAATGAGAACATATGCCTCAAAAGTGTTTGAATTCTTTTAACGCCACTATCCTTCTGCGATTCGAATGGAGGACATGTTTGTACGAATTAATTAAAGATTAAGTTTAGTATATGTTATTCAAGGATTTTTAAAAATTTTAATATTCTGGAGATGGTTTTTTTCACATGCAACTAAAAATATGACGAACAAATATAAGGATTTATTTTCTGAAATAGGACTCACAATTTCTGAAATTGAATGGAACATTTCTGAATTTCAACTCACAGATTCTGAAATTGAGTTTACCTTTTCTGAAATCTAACTAACGAATTCTGAAATCGTGTTCACTTTTTCCGAAATACAACTCACTGATTCCGAAATTGGAGTTGAAAAGGTATAGATTGGCCTCTGAGAATTGGATGCGCAGTAGACCCGTCGGCGGAGTGTGGCGAGAGCTCATTACTGTCGAGGAACTTATTTGTATTTACCAATAAAAAGGCGTAGTGCATGGATCTTTGTTGCACACTAACCATCTCTGTTTATCGTTTGCGCATCTCAGGGGCCATCAAGCTAGAATGGTCAAGCTGTATACGTTTTCAAATTGATATACACTGTATATACACCATTTAATTTTTACCATCTACATATATGTTCATTGAACATTGCAACATAGTGATATAATTGTTATCTCCATTAATTTTTAATTATCTAATCGTCACTTTTGTCAGGTCTATTTGTTAATAGTACACATGCATCTAATTAGCGTCATCTTCGGGAAACATATGAGCCAATTTGTAAGAAGCCGAAAAGAACGCGCGTAAAAAAAAGTTGTAAAATAAGAATCGGTTTCAAAGAATCACTCGGTGTAGGCGACTGAGACTGAGACGGAGTCTTGCGTATACCGAAGGGCTCGAAAAGACGGCGAAAGTAGGTTTCTCGGATTTCAAGGGGCCCACGCCGATGGTGCTGCCGTAAACGATACCGTTTTCGAATAAGGATCAGGTTACGAAAATGTTAATTTATGGATTTCGTCATTGTGTCACCGAATAGGGAACTTGACATCCCGAAAATAATTATTAGAGGTCGATATTATCGGGATTTAGACTCTTTCCCACTGAACAATGAAGGAGAATGCGCCAATTCTCAACTCCAGAAGATTTTGTTTTCAAATTCTTATCGTGTGTGTTCAATAGATTATAATTCAATGTTCGTCGTGGCATATACCCAGGAAAGTAGTTGTTTTTCTGTTGAATAAACCGAGGAAGAATTGATATTTTCATCACATATAGAGGATGCGAAATCTTAATTTATCTGAGAATATTCCTTTTCAATATGAGAACATATAACTTAAACATAAATTACATTGTTGCCTTGTGTTATTCAGAGATATGCTTAAAGTCACAGCAGATATGTTGCGGCAATGGACCTTTGTGCCTCTTTTAAATATTGATGTAATGTTAATGGTGGATATTATATAAATATATCCGGAATTACATTAAATCAATGTTACTTCATAACGTATATTTAGTATTACTCAAAAGATCTAAACAATATTGTATACTAACATCATCAAGAGAATTATCTGAATCATTCTAATTTGTTTCAGTTCAAGACTTGTTTAGTTCTCAGCTCACTTTGATAATTACATCAGTGGTATTTTATACAGCTTCTGAATATCTGAAAAAGTGGTCTGTTTCATTCGATAAATATGAAGTGTTCGATCAAATGAGGCTATCTTTGAGCAATATGTGTATCTGAAGAGGTTTTTAGAAGCTAAACTTGCCCCGGAAGAATGGAAGATGTTCAATTCGGTGGAAGAAAAATGGATTCACTTTTTTGAAGAAACCGAAAATCCTGGACGGAAATGCCAACTTTTGAAATTATGTGAGTATTTGTCTGCAATTCCTGCACACAATGCTACAGTGGAAAGAGTTTTTTCATCAATGTCAGCCCAGTGGACTGATCAACGAAATCGCCTGCTCCCAGAGACTGTGGAGTCGATTTTACAGTGTCAAGTTAATAATGACATGACTTGCGCAGAGTTTTACAAGTATGTTGAAGAGCACAAAGAATTGTTGTTAAAAGCAAAACCATCTGAACACTTCCGCAGTGAATTGAAAATATTTTCATTTCGTAACCTTTTATTACAAACAAATATTTTATCCAAAATAAAATATTTTTTTTATTTATATCACAAACATAATTATTTTTATACACCTCATCCTAGAATTCTGAAAACGTTCCGACGAGACTCTGGCGAAATATGGCAACCCTAATCAGAGGCCACATTCGTGAACACGAAATGTATCTTCAGGTTGCATTGCTTCGGCATCTCACAGTTCGTTCTTCTCCGACCTACCGATCCCATCGTTTTAGTTCATAATTGTTTATTTTTGAACGTGCCCAAGTCTCACTTTGCCCACTTTTATGACCACAGAGTATAATGTCATTGCCACATATTTTATTTGATGGCGAATTAACTTCCCTCGGTTCCCAATATTCCCATAAATGATTCACCATATTGTTTTATAATAGCCACCTGGACCGACCAGCGATATGACCAACTCAACTTCTGTGACTGATCAGACTGATCGATCAGAAGTCGAAATTCGACACGAGAGTAGTTACTTTCTCAACAATGGTGCAAAACGAGCTAGCCAACAGAAATAATGTCACTCTTCTATAATGGGTTCTGGAACATTCCGGAGTAGGGTATATAGGCTCTACTGAAGATAAACTACTGTAGGGTAGAGGAAAAAGAAGTAGAGTATAAACTCGCTATAGGAAAGGAGCTCAAATGGTATATTATTCCTACCTGCAGGTCAGACATAAAAAGAATAATTTCTAATCATTCAACATTTCATAATATGTAAAAATGAAAATGTTTCGGAAACGATAATTATTCATTGATCAGCTGTTCATATTTCTACTTTCTCAACAGTTGATTCCTTCGTTTGTTTAAGCAACGTCTTTCAACTTCAACGAGTATTGCTGTAGTTCAGCAACTTTTTTCCTCAAGTACGAGTATGAATAGACAAAATATCTATAATTTGCAATGCTGTGGTATAACTATTAACTCTGGCATAACTGTGACATATGTATCTCTATCTATACCTTATTGTACTTGAGTGATACATGGTATGTAAATTTTTTTTCAAAAGAATAGGTAATTTTCTATTCACAGCCCAAAAATTTTGGAGCTGAATTTCATGAAACCTGACAGGTTTGTTTCTAAAATACAAATGTATCTTCATGTCCAGTACACAGCTTCGCGGATGATAGTACCCTCCATACCGACTTCTCTTCCAGCCAGGCAAATCAGGAACGAACGAGGAATAAATGTGGACAACATAAATATAGACTTGGCAACAATTCTCGAATGGGGATCCAATAACTTCAATGCAAACAAAACACAAGCATGCCTTTTCTCTAGAAATGCCGATCTCAGTGTGCCCAACATATAAGCTTGTCAGGAGTAACCATACCTTTGAAGACATCCATTTCGATGCTTGGGATTACTATCAGCAATAACCTTTCTTGGGAAAATCACGTGAGATCAATTGCTAAAAGTGTATCCCAAAAACTTGGTTTTCTGTTTCGGGCCAGGAGCTTTTTCACTTCCAGTTCGCTGCTTATGATATATGAGGCACAGATTCGACCTGTCCTGGAATACTGTTCCCATATTTGGAGTGCAGCACCCAAACATATATACCCCGAAACTGTTGGATTCTGTCCAAAAGAGGGCAATTCGTCTCGTGGGTGATGCCTCGCTCACTCACTCACTTCTCTGGGACACCGTAGAAAAGTTGGCGATCTGGCTCTATTTTATAGATATTTTCATGGACGATGCTCTTCTGAAATATCAACAATTTTTCCTCCCTTGGCAGTCCCCGCGAGATTAACCCGTCGAGTTGAGGCTTCGCACCCCTT